TGTTGTTAGAGTACGTGAAGCGTAGAATCAAACCTGGTTTGAAAGTGGGGGCTTTGAGATAGCATAATAGTCGAAAAACAAGTTGATGGTCGACATATCTTCCAGCAAACCTTTCCATGAAGAAGGTATCTGCAATTGGCAGACATTACAGCAAGCAAGCATCATGCAAGATAGTCACTCCACCTGAATCGTACCAAGCTCCTCAGAGCTTTCATCTTGCGATGTCCCTACAAAGTCAAAAGAAAGACACTTTAAAGCGAGACCCATGGCTTGCTGACGGAGCCTGTCATCAGCTGCAAAAAAAACGAAATAAATAAACGCTGTAAAGAAACATTAAAGACATACCATCTCGTTTCAATTGGCCAAGCGATGTAAGTGAAATCTGGAAGATCTGGAGGAGCGCCGAGTCGCGAAAGAAACAGGCAATTTTTCGATGATGCGCCAGAGAGAGGCATGGATTTGGCTGCAGGTAAACAAAAATAAATAAAAACGATAAAAAACGCTGCAAGCCGAGGACAATGCAGGCTTACCTGATTCATCTCCTGGACGAGTTGATTCAAGATTCTCAAACCAATGTAGAAGTGCTCCACTGTTGCTTGAGACATGAATTTCATGGCCTCTTTGGTGATCTCCTTGAATCTATCGTCGTCATTCCAGCCCAGTTTTGTGATACGGCAGAGGAGCTGGATTAGGGATATGATCACAAATGCTTGGAGCTCCTGTCCTTTCGATGCCAGATAGCTCAAGATATAGTTTCCTGGGGAAAAAAACGAAAGAAAAAAATTCACGGCAATCCAAAAAAGAAGATGCTACATACTGATATCGATTCTCAGCTGGAGCGCCAAGGTGTGATTGGTGACTTGCTTGAGAAGGCTCGAAGATGCCAGCAGCTGCGCATAGGGAGACGATGAGCTCTCTAGGATGAGCTGACACTGCGAAATGTAGTCCAAATTCGTCGAGAAGCACTGCAAGGTGCTCTCGGCATGAGCTCGCTCCGCCGGATCCTGGGAATTGTAGAGCCGGTCGCACAGGGCCTCCAGCTGCGCCAAGCTCTCCATCGCAAATGGAGCGCCCGAAATTTCCTCCCTGCCGATGCGATGTCAAGATTGCTTCCACGCAATCCCGCGCCGGCGATGGATCTGAGATTCATGCGACCATGCTATTCCCCCCCCCGGTCCCGAACGCACAAACCCTAAGAAAACCCTAGAAGAAAGACGCTGCCGTACTTGCCCGTATCCGGACCGTCAGATATCGTGGAATGTACGGAGTCGAAAGAAATAATCGGTTCATCCTTGCCGTCGATGTCCAGCGGCCGGATCGCTTGCCACGTAGACTTTGCCACGTCGTCGTGAGATATTTGCCTAAAACCCTTATCCAAACCCTTGAGCGAGGGAAAGAGCTATGGCGGCATATTGTGCGCCCTCTGGGAGTGCGCTTCTTGCCAGGGCTCCGGCGCCTAGGGTTTGGAGCGCGGGCGCGAGCGCCAGTTTCGTCGGATTCAATGGCGGCATTCTCCGGCGCGGTATGTTTCTAGGATTCAGCAGCGCCTTTAGAAATGGAAATGCGGCCGATAGATTCGCCACGAGGGCCTCTGCGGCGGCCGAGGCTTCCACAGATGCGCCAGTAGATACCGGGCCAGGGATTACGATTGAGGAGACTGATCCCATACCTTACATCAGCGATCTCTTCACAAACGATGAAAACGATCCGGATGTTCCCACCGAGGGCTATTCATCGATCTCTGACGCTTCCAAGGCGATTAAAGCGGGCAAGGTTTGTACAAATAAATTGCTAATTGCGAGTACTTAATGTGGGTCTGTTATATGCAGTTTGTGATTCTTGTCGACCTTGTGGATGGACGTAGCGTTGGATACTTGGTGATGGCAGCGAGTATGGTTACTCCCGATCGTCTCCAGTTTGTCGATCGATACTGCATGCAAGGTCTTTTTTGTGTGCTGAGCAGCGAGCGTCTAGACGAGCTCCAAATTGGTGCGAGAGGAAGCATGACCGATGAAGCGAGAGTTTCCGTGGTATGTAAACGTTGAGAATTGCTGTCTTCTCTTCTTTGATTTAGTTTCTGTTCTTTGTGTTTTCCAGGACGAAAGATCTGGCACTGCAACTGGAGCCTCCGTGGGTGCAAGAACAAACACCGTTTTAGCACTCTTAAATCCAGAATCCAAGCCGGACATGTTCGTAAGTCCCGGATACGTTTATCCTCTGCGTTATCAAGGCTCTGGCAAGCGAGCTGGAACTCCAGAGGCGGCGCTGGATCTCATCACTCTGAATCGCCTGCCGAGGGGCGCCCTGGTTTCTCAGCTGGTCTACGACAAAGAGGATCTAAATCCCCGACTCCCAAAGCTCCAGCGATTCTCCAAGGAGAACTTGATCCCGATTCTCTCGGTTACTGACTTAAACAGGTAAAAGTTCTTCGAGCTCTTCCATTTCGCGACTTGATCTCTCTTTGGTGTTTCTTCTTCCAGGTACTTTGCCGAAACCACTCTCCACAACTTGACAGTCGTCAACTGGATCATGAAGAGCCTCCAGGACGAAAGAGAGCGATTGCAAAAAGAGACCGGATCGACGTCTACTGATATGAAGTTCTTGATCGCCGAGAGGGATCGATTGAGGAAAGAAAGAGGAGAACCTCCGGTGGAAGAGGGAGAGGGCCAGGGCGGCGCCGCCAATGGTTTACCCGCAAACGGCCTTCCAACGTCGCCTCCGCTACCAACATCTTAGACTAAGGTGTATGCTTTTGTGACATGGCGCCTTGTTGGCATAGTTTTTTAGTGATGTGGCAATTACAATGGTTAAAGATTATAATGGTAAAAGATGTAATATAACCCTATGGATTCGAACCCCCAGAGAATGGATTGCTTAATGTTTAGGGCTCTAGTGCCAGGTGCTAGCACCGCATTGTGTCCGAGAGCCCCTAGGGCGTCGAATTACCCGGGCGCTGCAGTGAGATTTCCACTTCCCGCGTCCCGGAGGTCGGGATTGTGCTGCAAAGCGGCATCCGATGATGATGCGGCTACTAGAGCGCCCGGATTGGAGACGATCTCAGCTCAGATCACGCCAGTCATCGACAAATTCTTCGTCAGCGATGTGCAAGGGGATCCGGACAAGCCAATGGAGGGGTTCTCGCAGATATCGGAGGCGATCGAGGCGATCGGCGAAGGAAAGGTAAGAGATTGAGAGAATTATTTTCTTAAACCAATGTGTTTGCTTACGATGTTCTTGTTGGGATGGATTAGTACGTGGTGCTCGTCGACGGAAAAGATACGGGGCATTTGGTGATGGCGGCAAGCTTGATCACACCTCAAGACGCTCATTTCTTTGTGAAAGCAGGCAGTGGCTTGATGTACTGTCCCATGAGCCCGAAGCTCTTGGACCGACTGAGAATCCAGTTAATGGTTCGAGAGCACGGCGAGAACGAACCTACGCCAGAGCAAGCACAAACGGTGTCTGTGGTATGTTAAGCTTGTTTGTTCTTCCAATGCATAGATAGCTGAATGCAAAACTTGTTTTTTCAGGATGCGAAGCTGGGGACGACGACTGGTGTCTCGTCCCAAGATCGTGCAAACACAATTCTTGCGCTTGCGTCGCCCGACTCCAGATCGGAACACTTTCGAAAGCCGGGACACATTTATCCTATTCGGACTCATAGAGATGGAGTTCTATACAGGCTTGGTTTTGCAGAAGCCGCTATGGATCTTGTAACTTTAGCTGGGCTGCCGAGTGTTGCTGTGACCACACATCTTGCGGTCCAAGGACTGCCAGAATTGAGCAAGTTTGCAGCACAACGCGGATTTCCATTCATTAAAGTTGCCGATTTAGGAAGGTAAAGTGCGTCGTACGTACGAACGAAGCTTTGTGAGTCAGTGCCGACGGGATTTTCGTTGTTCCAGGTACATGAAAAAGAGGGAGAAGCTTGTCGAAAGAACTGCAGTCGCTCGACTTCCAACCAAGTGGGGGGATTTTAAAGCTTATAGCTACAAATCAAAGCTCAATAGCATTGAGCACGTCGCGTATGTGAAGGTGTGCATTTTACGGTTTTTCGTTTTTTTTTTTTTCTGGTTTTTTTCCTTCGTTCTCAACTCTAAAGTTGTTCTCAGGGTGATATTGGCGACGGACAAGACGTGCTTGTGAGAGTTCACTCTGAATGCCTCACTGGTGACATCCTTGGCTCTTTGAGATGCCCGTGCCGTGACAGCCTCGCTCACGCCATGCAAAGAATCGAGAGCGCCGGCCGGGGCGTGCTCGTCTACTTGCGTGGTCACGAGGGAATGCGGGTCGGCCTCGCGGAAAAACTCTCAGCTTACAGCATGATGGATGGAGGCGAATCCATCGTGGAAGAAACCGCAGTGGATTCGCGTGACTACGGCATTGGTGCTCAGGTTAGTTTTTTCTTTCTTTGCTTTCCTTCTCTTCCTTCTCTTTCTGTTTGATCACTGTATTGATGTTCCAGATCTTGAGAGACATTGGAGTGAGAACGATGAGGCTGATGACCAACAATCCCGCAAAGTTCCTTGGCTTGCGAGGATACGGTCTGGCTGTAACGAGCAGAATTCCAGTCTCTAGAGGGTCAAGCTAATACGGTATGCTTCTCAAGTTCCTTCCTTCACAGTCTTATAACTGCTACAGTTACTGGATGATTTGATCTGGTTCTAAATTTTCCCTTGCCAGGTTATAGAAGAAGTTCGACGAAGTTAATATGCTTTGTCCTTGGAAGAATTCTTATCAGGAAGTTCTTTGCCACTGCAGCAGAAATTTCCATCGCTCCATCACTCTATAGTATTTTAGGAATCGTATGATAGAAATAGTCATGGGAGACTCTTCGACAAACAAGTAGAGAAGATTTAATCAAACTTTAGATTCGTGCCTTGCTCTTGACATGCCTGGTAAGTAGCGAAGCAAATGCATGGAAAAGAAAAGAAAAACAAAGCATACGGCGGCGGGGCTAATTAAGTCCTAAAGCTAGATTGCATTCCGTGCGTCACGTCCGTGCCTGGGTTTTCTCGCCAATGTACCCTCGCCCAGTGCTTTGTTGGCCGGTGTTAGGGCTCGTCAGCCTCTTTCCATCGCCCAGCCCTCCATCCCCCCTCCTCCCTTCCTCCTCTTTCTCCTCCCCCATTTCTTCTTTATCTTGAGCGCCTCCTCCTCACAACCCTAATCCAGGGTTTTGCGATCGATCTCCGGCGGCGGCAGTCTTCGTTCTTCTCGGTAGGGATCGGGGTGGATCGCGGAGGGCGCTCGAGCAGAAAATCACAAAAAAGGTCTGGTTCTTCTCTTCTTTAGCGAGAAAACGAAAAAAATTTCCCAAGAAATCTCGAGAACAGCAGCTAGCCCGGCAGAAATGGCCCAGCTCCCGTCGCCTTTGGTCCAGTCGCCTGTGATTCCCGGGATCAATCAGTTCGTGTCGACCTCGCTCTACGTCGGGGATTTGGATCCCAATGTCAGCGAGAATCAGCTGTATGATCTCTTCAACCAGATTGGGCAGGTCCTCTCGATCAGGGTTTGCCGCGATCTCATGACGAGGAGGTCTCTGGGCTACGCTTATGTGAATTACAACAACGTCCAAGACGGTATGGTGCTTTGCTTTGTTTCCACGCTTTTATTGGTACCACTAAACGCCTTTTCTTTTGTTCTATTATCAGCAACGCGTGCGCTGGAGCTTCTTAACTTCACTCCTGTGAATGGCAAGGCTGTGCGTATCATGTTTTCTCACCGAGATCCTAGCATTCGCAAGAGTGGAACTGCTAACATCTTCATCAAGGTACTATCAGTAGAAGTATTTGAATTCTTCCGGGTTTGAGAGTATAATCTTCGTGTTTTCACAGAATCTCGACAGGGCCATCGACAACAAGGCTCTCCACGACACGTTTGTGAGCTTTGGAAACATTCTCTCTTGTAAGGTGGCCACGGACTCCAACGGGCAGTCGAAGGGCTATGGGTTTGTTCAGTTTGAGCAGGAAGAGTCTGCCCAGGTTGCCATTGACAAGGTGAACGGGATGCTCGTTGCGGAGAAACAGGTGTTCGTTGGTCCTTTCGTTAGGCGCCAGGAAAGAGAACAGAACGGCAAGTTCAACAACGTGTTTGTGAAGAACCTGGGTGAATCCACCACCGACGACGAACTCAAGGAGGTTTTCGGTGCATTTGGAAAGATCACAAGCGCCGTGGTGATGAGGGACTCCGATGGAAAGTCGAAGTGTTTCGGCTTCGTCAACTTTGAGAATCCGGACGAGGCTGCTAAGGCTGTTGTAGGCCTGAATGGAAAGAAAATCGAAGACAAAGAATGGTACGTGGGTAGAGCGCAGAAAAAGTCCGAAAGGGAGGCAGAGCTCAGGGCGAAGTACGAACAAGAGCGCAAGGAGCGTATTGACAGATATCAGGGCGCGAACTTATACCTGAAGAATCTGGACGACGACGTTGACGATGAAAGGCTTCGCGAAATATTTGCCGATTTCGGTTCTATTACCTCGTGCAAGGTTAGAACGCTTTGTTTGCGTTTCATTTTGGCTCGCTAAATGGTATCGTGTAACAGGTAATGCGGGATGCTCAAGGTCAAAGCAAAGGATCAGGATTTGTTGCATATTCCGCCCCAGAAGAAGCCAATCGTGCGGTATGTTTGCCTACTTTTATTCTAATCTGTTATAGCAACTGTTACGATAACATGTGGAACTTTCAGACGATTGAAATGAACGGAAAGATGATCGGAAGCAAACCAATCTACGTTGCCATGGCACAAAGGAAAGAGGAAAGGCGAGCCAAACTACAGGTAAGCCCGAGGACTTACTAAGGTCTTACGCTTATCTCAAGTCATCATTTGTGCAGGCTCAGTTCGCTCAGATGAGGAGTCCCGTCGGTGTTGCGACTACGATGCCAATGTATCATCCTGGAGCACCGGGGCTTGGTCAGCAACTGTTTTACGGCCAGCCACCCGCGTTGATGCCTCCACAGGTGACATATTTACTCATCTCCTACATGGGGATGTCTTCTAAGTTCTTCCGGTTTCGTCTTGCAGCCAGCTGGATTTGCTTATCAGCAGCAAATGCTAGGAATGCGGCCAGGCGGCGGTCAATTGCCTAGTTATTTTGTACCTGTTGTTCAAAGGCAAGGACCTCAAGGAGGACAGCGAGCAGCCGGAGCACGGCGCGGAGCCGCTGGAACGCCAGTGCCACAGCAGCAGCTGCCACCACCGCAGCAACAGGTTCACCGAATACTTATTGTACTTCGTAACTTCTTGCATCCATTTGACATGGGTGTTTGCCGTCGTTTCAGATGATCCGAGGTAATCGGAATTTCCGGTACACTCCCTCGGCCAGGAACACTCCCGAGGTTCCCGTACCACCGCAACTCGTGAATGTGCTGCCTGTTCCGCTGGAGATACCAAGCGTGCCTCTGACTCCTGTTTCCCCGCTTCCGCCGTCGTTACCCATCGGTGCGCTTGCATCCGCTCTGGCTTCCGCGTCTCCCGAGCACCAACGAGTGGTACGTAGATTTGGATTTGTTTTTGGTACGTCCCGTGTGCACCGTTTTCTTACGCGAGTCTCGATTGCGTGTAGATGCTGGGAGAGCAGCTGTATCCTCTGGTCGACCAGCTCGAGCATGACCACGCCGGAAAGGTAACTGGTATGCTGCTCGAGATGGATCAGACTGAGATCCTCCATCTTCTCGAGGCACCGGATGCTCTGAAAGCCAAAGTTGCGGAGGCCATGGAGGTGCTGAGGCAGGCCCAGAGGTCGCCCTCGACAGAGCTGGCGTCCCTCTCGCTCAACGAGCCAATTCCGTCGTAAAGCAGCAGCAGCAGAGAGTGTGCATTGAGTTTTCGTATGACGGAGTACATTTTGTTTCTCGTTTTTCCTTCTTTCTTTTAATGCTCTTTTTTTCCCTTACGGTTGACTGCATAGAGATGTTTGCTGGACGAGAGTGAGTTCTTTTTTTCTCTTTCTCTCTCTTTTTTTGCTTTCGTTTGCTTTGCTGTTCCTTAGACTTGCTTTCATTCTGTGTTCGTTTCATTTTCGGTTTCGTCTGCTGCTGCTGCTGCTACTTTTTCTTGCTCGTTCTTACGCATCGGCTTCATTTGTAGACTGGTGGTTGGGATGGGAAAGTTTTGATATTCTTTTTCTTCTTCTTTGTTGGCTCTTGGAATAAACGACATTAGGAAGTATGTGGCTCTCTCTCTGACAAGATCTCTCGCTCCCTTTTTTTCTTTCTTCGTCGTCCTTTAAGGTTGCCTGTGGGTCCTAACCTCGTGTTCTTGTTTCTCAGCCTCAGCTCTGCGCCTTCTGCTGATGTGTGGTGAAGTTTTTTTTTCAGCAGCAGTGGGTGTCATGGTACAGTGCACATGTTGATCAGGTAATGCAGTGTACCTTTTTTCTGCATTTGTTATAACTTCCAGATTCGGGGCCGCTTGCTAATAACTCCCGTGTTTGTTGTAGAGAGCTGGAGTGAAGGCTTAGTGTTTCGTTCGTCGGAACCAAATGCTCTACGGAGGAGGGAAGGAATGGAGACGAGACCGGGGGCGTGTTGGTGTTAATCTGGACTTGGTTTCTCTCGACACGGCCAACGAACTCCTCTCGGGTAAACTCCGTTTCCCTGTCCGTTCGCCTGCTCAGCTCAGCTAGTCTCGGTTCGTTGGTTTGCTGGCCTGGAAAGCTTTCGAAGTTTGCGTCGTCGTGTCTAATGTCATCGATCGTTCGTTAGAACCGGAACTTCGCTTTTGTTTTGCTTTTGGAGGCTTTCTCGATCGATCGCGAGCGAGCGAGCGCGAAGAAGACATACCGAAAGAATCTGACAGAGGGACATCAAGCGTCAGTGCGTACACAGGTACATTTAAGTTGCTTTAACTCTGCTCGTCGAGAGAGAGAGATAGCATGGCTTTGCTGGGCTTGGCTTTGCATTGCATTGCGTCGTGTGTGTGTGTGATGTTGTGACGCTCTTCTCTTCTTGGCGGTTTTTACCTTCGCCCAGTTGGTACGAGAACCTGCCGTATCTGTGTGGGCATTATCGGACCAGCAGCAACACACTGGCCCCAGCGTACGGAAAAAGTGGTGGCCAGGACTTTTTTCCGCAAAATCGCCACGTCACACCTGCCCGAGGGGCTGCCACGTGTTAGTGAAATCACCAGTGACAACGTCACTTTCGGCAAATCCCCCTAAAGGGAACTGGACGAGAAGCCCCCGTTATTTTATGTCCACTTGTCGGTTGACCCTTGGTGGAATGTTTTGCCCTGTGCTCGGATGGTTAATTTTTTTTTATCTGATTTACACTTTCCAAATGGAAATATGCGGTTAATCATGGATGTTTAACCCAGGGTGGCATAGCTAGTTTTTTTCTATCTCATGGTTCAAGGTGATTTATACTTTCCACCCAATGCAATATACGCTAAATCATGGGCGCAAAACGCTACTAATTGTCCACCAATGATTACGACCACTATTTACCGCGGTGGTAAATCAAGTAAGGGTCAACTGGCAGCGAAAGTGACGCCTCTTTCCTTTTTGGTCAAGTTACCCCTTTGTGGGAAGATTTCCCCCCGAAAGTGACCGTCGGATCACCGAATCGGACGGACATGCCGCGCTGATTTCGGAAAGCTATCGGACGACTGTCGTTCTCACACATGGCAGGTATAGGAATGTGACGTGGCCAGATTCTCGGATTCCAGATTCCAGGCTACATGGCCCGCGAAATATAAATGCGGGTAAGGATTGCTGTCCGTACTTGGGTCACAGTGTATTTGTGGCCGGTCCGAATATGGCCTCCCAGATACGGGCTGTCTTGCCGTACCAACTGGGGGGAGGTTAAACTCACTGAGTCACACACACACACACATGCAAGCAATGCAGGAGAAAATCAAGCAAAAACAAGCACCAAAGAGAAATCTGGAATAAAATAGTCCAGGAAAAAAAATAGCCTTTTTTTTTTAAGAAAAAGGGAGAAAGGGAAGGAAAAAATCTCAGTACTAAGTTGTGTCACTCACTTACTGACCCTTTGATGCCCATTGTCAGATTGTTTTGGTATGTTTTCCATGATCAATCAAAACTTTGGAACTCTAAGTAGTAGAAGCTCCTAGAGTGTACAGGGAAAAACATGGATTGGAGAGGAGTTTTCTTTGCGGCGCATAGAGTCTAGTGTAGAGATTGTGTAGGCCATTTGATAGAAATTTAAATACGATTGCGTAGAGGAGAGCTTGTAGAAGAAGAAGAAGAAGCAGTTCTTCTCTTTCCCTTTCCCCATGGGCTTTTATCCGTGGCTTGTTTTCACAGCTATTCCGAGGAACAGTCCCACAAGGATTGGATATGGCTACTGACTCGATGCGTGACCATAGTGGTCTTTCTCTCTCTCTCCTTTTCTACTGCGAGACTCTCGAGAACAAATCTAAGTGTGGCTTCAACTAGGCCTCGCTCAGTTTCTCCTCGACAAGAAGTAGATTTGAGTCATGGAATCACTCGATCGATCTCTCTCTTGTTGGAGCAGCAGCAGCAGCATTTAGAAGCTACAAAAGGAAGGAAAAAAAGCAAAACGAGGAATTATTTGCAGCGGGCAATTTGGCCGATTCCACAGGTGCCTAGAGACGCAATTTCACCGATCGGTGGACGTCTCATCCATGGTTTCTACCTCCAAAGATCACTTCAAAGTTTGAGCGCGTTTTTCTTTCCTTTCCTTTTCTCTCTCTCCTTTTTTTTACTGCTCTTTCTTCTTTCTTTTCCTTCTGTGTGTGTGTGTGTGTGTGTGTTTTTTTTTCGGGTAAAGAAAATAATATAATCTCTACCCAATGGAGCCTTCTGCCGCTGCTGCTGCTGCTGCTGCTGCGGATCGTGGTCTCGGTAGCAGCATTACTACTACTGCGACTACCACTTCTTCTACAGTAGACGCGCGCTCCTCCAAGGCCGCCAATGAGAGCCGCTTGATCTTTCACCATGACCATCAGCAGCAGCTCCATCACCACCACCACCACCACCATCTCCATCAGCAGCAACAGCAGCAAACACAGCAATCCCAGCAGCAGCAACAGCAGCAGCAGCAAAGCCTGATGAGGTACCATTCTGCTCCTGGATCTTTGCTTTGCAGCCTCATGGATCCTGGTCCCCTCCAGCAGCAGCAGCAGCAGCAGCAGCAGCAGCAGATCACTCACCACCAAGTCATCCCCCACCAGCATCTAGACATGAACAGCATCAACATCAATATGAGCATCACCAACGAGATTTTCAGCCTGGATGGAGCTGGAGCTGGAGCTGGAGGAGCTGGAGGAACCGGCAATGGCTCCCGGGATCAAGGAGGAGGGGGAGGAGGAGCTGGGGTTTCTAGCAGCAATGGTAGCATGCAAAGCGTGGCCTTGGCGAGGATGGGATCAGGCATCGACAGCGCCGGGCAACAGCAGTATGATCATCAGGACTCATACGAGGCTCACCACTCCTCCGCGCAGCAGCAGGCCGCGGGAGGGATGATCCCACTCGCGTTTCGCGTCCACCACCACCAAGAACAGGCGCACGAATTGGAGAGGAGCCGCGGAGGCAGCAATTTGAACCTTCCCTCGTCCTCCTCGGCCGTGATAGGCAGCGGCGGCGGCGGAGGAGGCGGCGGGGCTAGAGGCGGCGGGTCCTCGGCGTCGCCGGGCGGATCATCGCTCCACCACCACCACTTCATGCCTCTGATCGATCACCACGCGTTCGACCCCGCGGCCGCGGCAGCAGCACTGGCGAGTCATGGATTCGATGCGCAGCGAGCGGCAGCGATGATTCATCCGCAGGACCTCGACGACGATCCCACCGCCGCCAGCACCAATCCATTGTTCGCCGCCGCCGCCGCCGAGTGTGGCGGGCTCGCGCTGGTGAAGCAAAAGAGCTCCCCCGCCGATCTCCTCTCCAAGCTTGTCGAGGGAATGGCCAGCCGGGGCGGCGGCGGAGAGAGTAGCAACATTTCCAGTCCCAGCGATCACCACCACCACCACCATCACCACCACCACTCCGCCCACCACGCCGCTGCCGCTGCCGCCGCCGCGAGCTTGGTCATCCCCGCGTTGTTGCAACCGCTGGCGCGATCCAGTAGCGACAGCCTCTCGGCGTCCAGAATTCCTGGCGTTAACGTGGAGCTCGGCGGCGGAGGAGGAGGAGATGGGAGCTGGGATGGCGGCGGTGGTGGCGGCGGAGGTGGCGGCGGCGGCGGGGCCTTGATCATGACCATGCACGATCAGGTGGCCTCGAGCAGGAAGCGGCTTCGAGAATCGGATCAGGTGGTGGAGCAGCAGCAACAGCAATTCGCCGAGGAGATTGGCTACTGCGACGAGGTGAGTGAGTGTCCGATTGTTCTTCGTGTTCTTCGCTGGAAATCTGGCTTTTGTGGTTCTTTGTTCTTTGTTTATACAGCATATATTTGTCAGTCCTGCATGAATTTCACTGCTTCATTCTCTGGTGTGTGTGTGTGTGTGTATCTGGAGGCGTATCTACAGGTTCAGTGCACTCTCTCCTTTTTATTTGTTCTTAAATTTCTCTTTGGCTCCAAACACCAAGACTCCGGGACTTCGTTTTCTTGTTGTTATTCGCTCTTTCTCGTTTGATCCTCTTGTATTCTGTATAGATTATAGATTCGGCTCCTCCGTGCGTGTTCTTGTGCGAATTCACACCAAAGTTTGTCGGGTGTTTGATTGCCACCATTCCTCTTCAGTGACTTCTTTTCTTTTTTACTTGTGTTTACTTCTTAGCTCCAAGTCGATGGCTGGAGTGCTTGGATGCCAGGCTTCGTGGTTCTAAGTGGCTGGAGGTTTCTGCAGGATCAGTGCGGCTTGGAGCACCCGGCGCTGGTGCTCTCGCGGCACCTCAGCCTGCGGAAGGAGCTGCAGGATTCGGTGCCCTGCAAGCTGCGAGCCCGGCGGGGATGCGCCACTCATCCCCGCAGCGTCGCAGAGCGAGTAAGTCGATCTTCCGCAACCTCCATTACAGAATCACCTTCCAGAGCGTTCTCCTTCCACCACCCTCTAGTTCTTCCCAATCTTTGCGCAAAGATTGGGAAGAACTAGAGATTACCTGCTTTTGTTTTCGAGGCGCACGAATGAATTCAGCCTCTGATCTCCGTGGCTTCCGTGGCTGCAGGTTCGCAGGACCAAGATCAGCGAGGGAATCAAGCGCCTGCATGATCTCGTCCCAAACATGGACAAGGTTCAGTGGATTTCCTTTCTCAAGTTTAATATAATTTTACAACTTTGCCCAGCAAACCAACACAGCAGACATGCTCAACCATGCAATGGAATACATGAAGCAGCTCAAGGAGAAAATTGAACAGATGAAAGAGGTATAAACACAGAAGAACAAAAGAGAAAAAGAGAATCTCTACAAAAAAGCTCTCTCCAACTTGATTTTATTACCAACACTACCTTTGTTTTTTCGCAAGGAGCTCAGGAGATGCAAGGAGAAGTGCCAAGGACTGTGCAGCGAAGAGTAGAACAAACACAGCCAAATTTTAAGACAAACTTTGGTCCTAGCCATTCTTTTGTTGCAAATATTAGAAGAAAAGATGGCATACATATAATATATATATATATATATACTATGAGCGAACATATATGATCCGTCCAGGTAAGTATAGGCACATAACACAAAATATATACTATCAATCAACTTTTAGAAAAGGAAAAGCTTCCACCTTAGAATCCCATCGATCTCTCAAATCTCCTCCCATCCTAACATTTTATTCCGCCTACAGCCGTTGTCCACCTCCTCTCTTCATCTCCCAAAAAAAAGCACGAGCAATCCATAATCCATCCAATGGAACTTTAGAACTTTAGCTAGCATGAATTTGATCCTTCAAAAAGCCTGCTCTGTCTGGTTCCTCTTTCTTTGCTCTTTTTTCCCTCGTCCTCATTTCTCTCTGTGTGGCATTAGAAGAAAAAGAGATGCCAACAAAAGAAAAACCAAGAGAAATGCTCACCCAACCTGATTACTCTGTGACGAGGATGATGTCACAGCTAGCAAGCGATGGCCACCACCGTTTCTCCACGCCCCACGAGTCGTACTAGCAGTAGTAGCACCAGCCGGTACTTCTTCCACAGCACTAGTAGCACTGGTCTCTTCCTCCTCCACGTCTGAGCCAAGCCTGTTCCTGAGAAACTTTGGCACCTTCTTCTTCTTCTTCGTATCCACAGCCTCTTTGATCACATCGTTACCGCTGCTGCTGTTTCCACCCGGCTGATGGAGCGGCTTCCCAGCTCCGCAAGCAGCGCAGTGGACGCTGCTCCACGGGTTTACCAGCGTGCACGTCTCGCAGCTCCAATCCGACGTACCGGGAGGAGCTTCGGCTTTGGCTTTGTACAGCACCGAGAGTGACGGCGACGACGACGATGACAACGAAGGGAACGACGAAGGTAACGCCAGGAATGACGAACTTGTCCCACTCCCTCCCTTTCTACGGTAGCCGTCCGTGGAAAGAACTTCCACGTCCTCCTCCACTGCTGCCTGCTTTTCTCTTCGTCTGGCTGCGCCGTCGCCGCTCGGGTCCCTGTATCCATTCCTTGGTTTCTCTGCTGCTGCTGCTGCTGCTGCTGCTGCTCTGACTTGTTTCATCACGTCCAGCAGCTCCTCCTGCTTCCTTCGGTCCGGACACAGTCGAGCCAGCTCCGGAAGAATGTTTGACAAGCCGAGCTTCGCCACCTGATCGTAGTATGACTTGGCGCTCAGTTCCCCGCTTCGAAACTGCGAGTGTACCTCCTTGAACTTTGCGAACTCGTCTTCATTGCCTTTCAAGTGGGATCGTATCTCCTCTATCAAGACTTTTGTTGCAGCTCGTATCTCGTCCATGCTCAACTGGACGACGTCGGCACTGGCAGGACGTACCACGGCACTGCTGCTGCTCGAGTGAGAAGGTCCACCTCCACCACCTCCGGCGCCAGCGCCGGGGCCACCCAGTGGAGGTCCGCGCCCAGCGAGAGCACTACTCGAGTGGCCGGCTTGCAGCTCCGGATACTCGGAAGGATTTAGAGTGATGATCGCTCGACTTTCGGGGGGGCGAGTCTCGGGAACAGCTCGCTGCTTTGCATTGAGAACCTTGACTTTCTTTCCACCGGCCCCTCCGGCCGCGATGAGCGAAGCCAACGGACGCTGGCTCTGCTGCCGAGAATGCTGCGGCTGAGCTGCTCCAGGTAATGGCGGAAACGCCGACTCGTTGAGAGATGAGCGGCCTCCGCCGTGTAACGCAGTACGATACCACCTCGCGCTGTCGGTGTTCTCTCTAGTGCTTGCGCTTGCTGCAACACTTTCGGATGGAGCAAGCGCGGGGAAGTGCGCGGGGTTGTTTGCCACAGCGGAGGTATCAGTGTCTTCGGATGCGAGCGGGACAACGGTCTCCCTGGGAGGCGAAGACAAGAGTTCGGCATTCAAGTCATTCCCTCGGTTGCCTCTATAGTACGAGCTTCTTCCACGCTCTGAAGCTTGTTGGCCTGGAGAACGTCGAAACTGATAACTAACAGGAATCTGGAATTTGACACCATGAGCTACGGCGCAGACGAAATACATGCGGACAAACTTCACCTTCAGCGCTGCGTTTCGCTGAGCACGCGTCAGACTCCCTCCATGCTCTTTGGCATTGTGAACCTAAACGACGTAACTTAAGTCTAAAGTAGACGACACAATCTCTTACGCTCACCTTCAATTCTTGCTCGGAAGCAAACACAACAAACTTTTTCGCAAGGCAGTCAGGATCTTCGCAAAGAGCATGCTCATTCCGAAAGTGACTCTGTAGAAAAAGGACACTCACTAGTGACGTCTCAATGAGGTGAGCTTTCCTACCTCCAAGTCGTCGTAGTTTTCATAATAATCAAATTGTCCAGGCCTCAACCTGCATTGGATACACAATGAGAAAATGAGAAGCCGCACCAAAGGTGGACACGTTTACCTCTGGCAAAGATGGCACGTAAAATGTTCCGTGGACATGTGGTGGTAGAGCTCGTTGTCACTATAAAACCTCCTGGTACAAAAGGCACACATAGGATGGCCCGTGAAGCCACCTCGCTCCTCCTCATTCCCATCCACGACAGAATCTCCTCTAGAAGAATGGCGCTCGAGCTGTGGCTTGGTATACAGCTTTTGATCCTGAATGAACACCTGCAAAGAGGAGAGGAAAACTTTAGCACACTCACACAACATCCAAGTTGCAGTACCTTACGGCCTTCCAAGCACAGCGAACACATGATGAGCCTGTGCGCCGAGAAGATGTGGCGTCGAAGAGTATCCAGGTTTCTAAAGACGTGGCCAGCTCGAACAGCTCCATTGACAGGAGGAGTAGCGGCAGTGGCAGCCTCGCAAACTTTGCACTGGAGGCGGCACATAGCTTTGATCCTCTTGTATTCATCCTCGTCGTCAAAGTAAGCCCCAATGTCCGCCTCGAACCAAAGGTTGCCACTTTGGTGGCCAGTGGACAAGGAGCTAAAGTCCGACACCACTTTGGTATAGTCCCCGAGAGCCTACGCAAGAATCTCTACTCTGTGAGCTCGCTATCGAGAAGAAACCAAAGAAAAAATCTCACCTTTGTGACGAAGACGAATGGACACTCCTGTTTGCATATGCAACAGCGCTTATCATCGAGCACGACCCTCAGCCTAGCGGTGCATGTAGCGCACACTTCCCGGTGGCCGCAACCGCCGTAGGCGATCCACTCCAGCGGCTCGGCACACACAGCGCAGCAATCCTCCATCTCTGAGCTTGTAAAGCAGAAATTTCGGAGGAAATCTAGCTCGGGGAAGAGGAAATACCACCGGAATCGCAGCGCCTGGAGCAGCACGACGCTCTGATGGAGAGGGGAAGAGCTCGCGCTCGCCGATGCCGATCGCGATCCCAAAAATCCTCGATCAAACCCTAGACGGCTCTCTACTAAAAGGACAAAACGCGTTTGGTGATAAACCCTAATTCCATTCACTGTGAAGGGATGTTCTTCCATATCCGCCTCGAGCGCAATCTCCAGCTCCATCCGCGATTCTTTGGGCCGCAGCTCAGAGACAAGCTCGTCGAGAAGCTCATCCACGACGTCGAGGGCACTTGCAGGTACGCTTCTAGCGTTTCCAGAGTAGGGAAAGAGTTTCCAGGTTAAGAATCGCGTATTTTAGGCGCTCTAGAGGCATAGTCGCTGAATCTGAGGGCCTGCATTGGCCTGCTCGGGCTCTTCTAGCTTCTAGAGCAAGGATTTTGTCCTCCCGGGTTGTTCTAGCTTCTAGGAGCAAGGATTTTTTTCCTTCGCTCTCGGGTTGTTCTAGCTTTTAGGAGCAAGGATTTTCTTATGTTCTAGCTTCAAGTTTTTCTCTCGGACTAGCTTCTAGGAGCAAGGAGCTTTTCTGTTCTACCTTCTAGGATTTTTTCTTTTCGGTATTTTCCTGTTTTTTTTTCCTCTAAAGGGAAGCTTTTCGCTGTGAGATTTTTGGTTGCGTTTTTTCTTTCTTGTGGTTCTTATCTTTGGCCTTGTTTTTCATTTGGTTTGGATAATCTCTCTTTGGAGCTCTAAAACTTTAGCTTTTCCCTTTCCAGTGGAAGACATGGCTTTGTTGTTGCCGTGACCGGAGTGGACACGATTGGCAAAGGACTCATTCGGGACGGGACTGGCTACGTAACTTTTCCCATACACTACCAGTGCGTAGTCTTCCGCCCTTTCAAAGGCGAGATTCTTGAAGGGGTCGTGACGCTGGTCAATAAGGTTGGCTCCTCCTCCTCTCCCAAATCTCTCATACTTACGTTTTTTTGAATTCGCAGATGGGATTCTTCGCAGAAGCCGGACCAGTCCAGATTTTCGTCTCAAACCACGTAAGTTTGCTCAAGTTTGTTTGTTCTTCCTCGTTTTCTCTTAATAACTTGGAAAGCCTGCAGCTTATTCCAGATGACATGTCCTTTCAGTCCGGCGATGTACCCTGCTACGAAACATCTGATAGCTCGGTGAGCATGTGTGTGTGTGCTCTTCCGGAAATCCTCAAATTTTTTTTCTTTTTCCTCAGGTCCGAATACAAAAGGACAGCGAGGTGCGCCTTAAAATCGTTGGAACTCGTGTAGACGCCACTGAAATTGTAAGCATGCTCCGCTCGGCTTCTCGAAACTGGTGTTAAAAATATCTGTACGCTACATAGTTCTGCATCGGGACGATCAAGGACGATTTCCTGGGCCTTATCGGCGATCCAACAGCAGGAGCTTAAGACTCTGGTCAGTGGTAAGCTTTTCATCTTTCTTTGCATAGCCAGTTTACTAAGCACGACTCTAAACAGGGCCACCTTTGTAGAGCTCAAGGCCTTTTGCTTTTGTTTGATGGAATGCTAACATTATATTACAATATAGCCGCGCTTCCAGACCCTTTCTATCAACAAAGAGAGAGCTTTCCGGGAGGAGGAGCTAGGTAGGCTGCTGCAAAACTCGCTCCCGACGTTGCTTTCTTTTTACAAAACTGAGAAGAGCTGCGCTGCCGGATCATCTCACTTGTTTCCACTGTCGAGCGGCACCGTCAAGTTCATCAGGTACTTGAGCTCGTCGTAGAGCACCAGGATGAGCGCAGCGCCGGTCCCTCGCAACATGTTTGACACGGCTCCACGATAGAAGGACGAGACCCCTTCCATCCGGTAAATCTTTCTCCAGCAATCCAGAGTGTTGACGTACATTCTCTTCTCCAGGCCGGCTTGCATCATCATCCTGTGCCGGACGGTGTCGAGCGGATACGAGATCAAGCCGGCCGAGGTGGTGGCCGCCTGAGCCATGAGCCAGCGTTTCCAGAAAGGGAGGTGCTCGGAGTCTCGCGAGAGCAAGTCCTTGGCCGTGTCGAAACCTCCAAAGTAGACGCTCCTGTGCACGACCATTCCCTGGATGGACGCTGGGAGTCCCCGGTAGAGTCCGCGAGTGCCATCCTTGCGGTAGATGGTCCTGATGAAGTGGAGGAGTCCCTTGAACTGCCTGGCGTCGCGGTTCCCGATATCGGCCGCTAAGCGCGTGTGGGCGATGTCCAGGGGATAGACGAAGACGAGGCTGGTGCACCCGGCGGCGGCCCCGGCCACGAAGTTGAAGGGTGCTCTTGACAGTGCGTCGTTCTTGTCCGAGATGAGTAGCGATCGGTACAAGTCCTGCAAAGAAGAAAGTCCGAGTCAAAAGCGAAGCTTGTAAACAGAGAAAAAGAATGTAAGCTCATGACAAAGATTCTAATAATGAAAGTAAAGGTTTCATAAGTAAGAACAAAAGGTTCCAACTTGCTAGAAACAATGGAATCTTAAAGAGCAGATAAACAAGGAAAAAATGGAGGCTCGAATGATAAGAATGGAAGCAAAGGTTTCATCCGTAAGTCCCTACTTGCGGTACGAAGTGAGTGGAAAAGGTTCCACGGATAAAGAAAACTAGACGCAAGAACTGAGGACGAAAGGATCGCAAGTAAGAACCGGTAGGAACTGAGACGAGACGAAACTATACGTAAACAATCCGAAAAACGAGCAAGAATCCCGGAAGAAAAACGAAGAGAAGGAAGAATCTCTAGCGCAAAGAGGAAGAAAAACGAAGAGAGAAGGAAAGAAGCCACGAAAGAACGAAAGAACGAGACTACACACCTTGAAGGCAAAGTTGAGTGCTAGTGACGGATAGTACCGCATGACACTGCTTCCATTCCCCCGCCACAGGGAGAGCACGCCCTCATCCTTGGCGATCCGGAAGATGCAATCGATCATCCCCTTGTAGCGGTGATGCCGCCCCTGCATTATCGCCAGATTGCTCTCCTGCGTCTGGAGCAGCAGCTTGGCGCGCTCGATGGGCGCAACGATGGTGTGCGCCACGCCGCCCATCAGCCCGCCCGCGATGAGATCCTTGGGGAAGTTTGCCCATACCGTCTTGTTCTGGAGAGCCGCCGCCGGCGATGACGAGCCTTCCTTGCCCGCCGCCCCACCCACGACCTTGGAATCCGGGAAATCCTCCTTCTTCTTCAGCCTGGCGATCGCGTCCGCGGAGATTGTGGGAGGCGCCGAGCTCATCCTTGGCCAAGGACAGAGCTAGAGCATCGACCCGGCCGTTCCGTCCCCAGAACCCTAAAATGCCAAACACACGCACTATTAAATGGCACCCAACGGCAAATCCGCTGCCGCCACGTGTCGTCCAAATCGTTCATTGTTATGACGCGGAAGATTCCAAGAGAATATGCCTCCAGTCAATTTAGTGTGCTTCGTTTGTACAGAGAAAATGGAAGTTTCTTTCAAACTCTTTGGTTCTTTTGTTTCCAGTTTGCTTCGTCTGGAACTTTGTAAGTGAGAAATCGATCTGGAAGAACGTCCTTCCAAAGAAGAAAAGGAAATAACCATAGTAGAATCCAGTACCTGGAACTCCCAGTGATATGATCTGGATGAGAGTTTCATGAAGAACCTTGGAAGATCACTGCTCCTCCTCGTCCTCCTCGTCTTCCTCGTCTCCACCTCCAATCCCTTCCAAGAGCGCTCCAACGTCTTCACCGAGCTCTTCCAGCCGAGCTCTCAGCTTCTCCACCTTGCTCTCCTCCTGGCCCAAGCAAACCAGCAAGTCGTTTAGCTCCGCCTCGTTCTCCTTCTGTGCCTCGGCCCGGCCTTCCTCCCGGGCCGCCTCGAGCTCCTCCGGCGATGGCTTCAGCGACACTCCCTTGCCTTCCACAACGCTTCTCATGCTCTTCATCTGTCCATCCATGCCGTGGTTTATCTTCTCCAGCTCGTTGTAAGCGCTCGAAAGGCTCTGGAGCTCCGCCTCGTACTTGGACGCCAGTTGCTTGTACGAGACCACCTCCGACTCCAACTCCCGTCTCTGGTTGATCGCTGCGGTGGTTTTCTGCTGGGATTCTTCCAGCTGCTGCTTCAAGCGATCGACGTCGGCTTTCAGAGATGCACTGCTCCGGTGAGTTGACGAGTCTTGAACTATGGCCTTTTCGTTTGAGTTTATGAGGAGATCTTCGGCGAGTGCTGAGTTTCTGGCCAAGAGTTCCTGCAGCAAGTGTTAAGTGTTAACATCACCTCTACGTGGGAAAAAACAAACGCACCTGTATTTCTTGAGCCTGAGTTTGAAGTACAGTTTTCAGCCTCGTCGTGTAGTCCGACTCGCTTTCGCCTTCCGCACGTTCCCACCCCGCCACCTCCACGGTGACTACCCCACTCTTCGGGTTTGTAAACAGCTCCACGATCCGGTTCCGCACAACCGGCTCCAAGAGGTTGATGAACTGAACGAATGGAGCATCGTAGAATAGTGGAAGAGCTGCCTCTGGAGATGCATCACCGGAATGTAATCCCAACTCCAGTTTTTCTTCAGTGGACGCAGCAGCAGCTATAAATCCGTCACCAGCAGCTACTGCAGCTGCTGTAGATCTCGTAAGTGCCTGCGGAAGTCGAGTCGGTGTCGATGAAGCGATAAATAAGGGGCTTAGTCTCATATCCTCCCACTTGGAAAAGAATGCTGTGAGCCCGATTCTCTGATTAACCATCTCTAGGACTGCAGACGCATCTGTCCCAGCTGACGATGAGGGTGACGGCTTGTTTTCGTTGTACACTATACACTCGCCAAGTAGAACTGCAGCGAGGCCAGCTACGTGAACACTTACAGGCGATCCACTGCTGGACATGAGCTCCACCAGGAACGGAAGGTGAGTAGCCGTCTCCAGGAATGCAGCTACTGCTGGTGGACACTCGGCAAGCCATGTCACCAATAGCCTCAGAATGACCGGTTGCAGCCAAGCTGTGCTCACGTTGTCTACGCTTTCATGTCTTACAGAAGCTGAAGCGGCAGCTAGATATCTCATGCACCGAGGCAACAGGAGCTCCGGAGTTGCAAGCCTCGAAGAAGGTATTTCCAGAGGGATTGACAAAACCTGCACGGTCGGCCAGCTTTTATCAGAAAATCACAAGTATTGAAATCTTGTGTACCCGTTCTTTGCACTTGATGTTGTTTTTAAGAATGTGAGACAAAACACTTGCAGCTCTGCAACTTGCCTGCCAGAAGAAAGATCATACAAACTGTCAGGACGAATCCGGTCGTACCTCCAAGTCATTTCTGCCATCAATCCCAACCAGCGCCTGGATCAGCATGCTGAAACAACAAAAGTAAATCTTGTCGTCATTCACTTCACCATACGACGAGAAATTAAACCTTCCGAATGAAAGATGGTGACCATCTTCTCTCTTCCTAGACGACTGAGGTAGAGGAGTAATTGTCGATGCCAGCATTGTCTGACCATCTGGATTGCCCTGAAGAAAATAGCGTGAATAACTAGACAGCAGTAAAGAAAGATCCAACCTCACAGAAGCATTTGATCACGTACTCAGCAGCGATACACTCGTTTATGTTGGGCGTACGTAGTAACACTCTCAGAATGCACACCATAGCTGGTTCTGCATCACCTTCGTCACCGACTAGCTTGTTCGCTAGTATGTCTCTGTTGACAGCGTGGCCATTTACAAGATCTCCGACACATTTTAGTGCCTGCACGTCCAAATCAAGTTAAAGTCTAGAGGTAGTCGGCACCACATTAGCATACCAGGCATCGAATAGCCACTGCCGAAATCCTGCCTTCAACGCTAAGCCCCAACAAATAGCTGAGAACATCACTCTATAATGGATGCACGATGAAGTACATGTATATAATTGCAAGACAAAGTTGTACCTGAGCAAGAAGCTTTTTATTAGCAGCCAGGTTTGCATCCTTCCCGGGCTCCACGTCTTCACTCCCAGCTAGTAACAAGGCAACTGTTTCCAGAGCACATAATAAGTTCACTGACTGTCTTAACAGCGAACATCGTATCCAAATTAGACTCCAAGCACATAAGATAACCTTCGAAATACCTTCTGCTGAGAGGCGTCACCGCCTCCTTTGCGCAAACTCAAAAGAGAAGCCACGTTTGCTAGACCCATGGTTTCTCTAAGGAACACCTACAAACGACGACGGTCAGACTGAACACCAACATACAGGAATACCTGGTTGGACGAATTATTGCGCAAAAGGTTGTTAAGCAATTCCAGACAGTCCTGCATATCATAGAAGTATTTTAGACGGTTCAAAGATCAGCTCCAACTTGTACCTGGACAACAATCCCTCCGTCCGAACCTCCTTCTTCCTTTACAATGTGAAACACTCTCTCAAAAGCGCCTTCAAAAACAACAATCTTTTGAATCTCCTGTTAAAAAAGAAAAACAAGCATAAACGAAAGCTCAAATACATCAAAGGTCCCACCTTGGCTGCACGGGTAAGGTGAGTCAAAAGCAAAAGTGCTTCATTCCGGATCACCTGCAAACGTTTATCACGTGAGCGTTTCAGCCGTCTACATCTTGCTGACCTCGCGCTCCAGCATCATATCCATGAGTCTTGTGATGCCTTGCGGTGTTGCTAGGACTTCCTCTTGCAATCTTCAATTGCACACCTTTTAGATTTACGTATCGAAGCTTGCGACGGCAACTCACCTAGCGGGTGAAACGGACAGAAGTAGCGTGAGAAGCTGAAGAACATAGTACCGGACGTAGAAATCCTCCTCCTCCTGAAGACATTTGATAAGATAGTTCCCACAAAGTTTCCTAGCTTACCAGCAAACTTAAAAGCAACGCAACGATGTTCTGCTCCCTTGCAAGCAGTTCACAGTTCACAAGACCAGGAGAAAGCTGCCCGTGATCATCTTGAGTCGCGTTGCTTAAAGCAGTAACGAGCGTTTCCAGCGCTCCTCGGACCTTGATTCATTATGTAAGTCAACCAGAGAATAGAAAGCTCGCGATAAAAAAAAATTACGCTCGCTCACCATGTCTACGTCGTCACGATCGTCTCTGAGCACACCAATGAGCACCGGAAATCCTGCAAAGCAACGCTTTTTAAAACACGAAGTCGACAAAATAGAGAACTAGAGTTAGAATAAAATACCCATGGCTCCAAAGGCCAGCTGTGCTTGGCGATTTTCGTCCACGAGAACACGAAGCTCCTCCATGGCAGCTCGCCTGTCCACAGCGAGCGTACCATTGCTGATAGTCTCAAGCAATTGCTCCACTCCGCTAGAAAAACCAATCCAAAATCACTTCAAGAACAACCAGAGTGTCGACTTACCCATCGTCCTCTGGCGGATGATCTCCGCTTCCAAAAACGAATCCCCCAACACCCTGCACCGATGCAAACCATCACAAATTCGCCTCGAATTGCGCGTCCTAGCGAATGCAGGCACCGGACAATCTAGAAATCTATCGATTGCCCTTATCTATGCCCAAAGTTCCTGGATCGATCGTCCCAGAAGAGAAACCTCACCTTGACCATCATGCCGAGAGCTGTAGAAGGCCTCATCGCGATCCAGCTCTCAGAATCGCCTTGGATCCAGCTCCTCGCTTAGGGTTTAAGTCAGGAAGAATATGCTTCGTAAAGATGCGACTTAACAAGGTATCGAACTCGAATATGCTTTGACTTGGAAGAAAGAGAAGCAAGAGAGGGATGTCGTCATTGTCTATCTCCTTATTCACTTCGAAACTTTTCTAACTTAATTTGGACTTTCCCGAAGTTCACGAACATTTGGAACTTCAAAACTTCTCCAAAACTTCATGAAAATGCTCAATAGACTTGTTAGTCTGGAAGAGAAATGAAAAAACTTACGCTTAGAGTAACGTCTCCATTCTTCATTAGCTTCTCGAGCTCGAAGTATGCAGGGGAGTAAACTCCAAAAAGTGCTGAGCAAAGCCCCAGATGGCGGACAAAGGACTTGGTCTCATCGTAAATTACCATTCTCACGGAACTTTGGATTGCTAGCCCAGACCTCTCCCTGTTTTTGTAAGATTGCTCTAGCGTTCCGGCTGTTTGCCATCTGAGTACACCATGGATGATCACCTTGAGCTTGAAGTGTATATGTGGTGTGATTGTTTGTGTGATTTACAGCCTGAAAGGCACCAAGATTTCACAGGAAAGGATGTTGTTGGAGCATGAGTATGATTCCAGACATTCCCAGATATACTCAGATTAAATTGATATCTAGATTATTTTCTAGTGGGTTTTCCAATTGGATTTTGAGTGTATGGTGAGGTTGCGAGATTCCTTTGCAAACGATGGTGACCACTGTGGGATGCCTCACTTTTCAACTATCATGTGAAGTACTGAGTTCCAAAGCAAAGATCAAAGGATAGATTTTATTGTATTTCTCTAGATCAAAAGTTATTAAATTGGGTTAAGCTTTTGGCTTTTGTTTTTCATAGATGGTAGAATTTATTTATTGAATCAATTCTGGGTTCCATGTCCACCATTCTTAACTCTGTGGCCATTTTTTCACCCCAATCATCCTCCATAAAATTCATGTGTACCACTTTTGTAGGCAATCCTCTTTTTGAGAAGTCTTTAGTGCCTTTTCCATCACCTTCAACTACCTTCGACAAGATGACCAAGATTAGAGAGACTAAGTATTACATTTATGTAGATAGATTCCCACCACAAATTTGCTGTGTGAGTGAAACAAAAATGATTGCTACATAACCAAGAGCTTTCATTTGCTTGCAGTCCCTGGAGCCATTCATGGCCCATAGACCCATTCATCCCATGCATTCTAACAAGTTGTTAATGTTGCAAACCAAATGGACAATCGCATACCATACTACCTATGCTTCTTCTTTGGGCAGAAGTGGACTATAAATAACTCTATATCACCCTCTCATGACTCCAAAATCTCCATTTTAAAGCCTCATGTTCAGTCAAATTTTTACTCATTTACATTGTTGTCAAACACTGAGGTGGTGAATTGCAATGTTTTCGATTTTTTGCAATTGAACTGGATAGAGTCTTCAGAATACTCCTCCCATGTCAACTCATCTCCTTAGAATCTAGTTGGAATCACAAGTTACAACAAAGATTCCCAAGATTCTGCAAATGCCCGAGTTGGAGGTGTTGGTCTATACCATGTTTCCCAAATAGAGAAGTTTTATATCAAGTATGAAGAAGATTTTCAGCCTCTGGAGCAAGTCAAAATCCATGGGTCCCATGAGTTTGGCTTGCTAGCATTTGATACGGCAAATAAGTCTTCCCTTGAGGCAACTCTTTAAGACTTTTGGAGGAGAAGCATCCACCTCAATATATTGCCTTGTCTACTAACTTGTCAATTTCAGGAATCCTTTTTTGGGCTCTTCTGAGTTATATTATTATAAGGCATAATATGTATTCTTCTTGAATAAAAGTTGCCCAAAACTTCAGTTTTTGTGAGAACAACACTGGCTATATGTAGCTCAAGGAGATTCCTCATGGCAAGCTTGCAAGGTCTTAGTGAACTCTACATGCTCACCCAAAGTGGCTCTAACATGAAGCCTTGAAGCCTAATTTTTTATATTCAAACTAAGATCCTTCCTTGACCAGAAACTAAAGTGTGTACACAAAGCTTGAAGCTCTTGTGGCACAATTTATATTAGTGATAAGCAAAAGAATTAGAGAAAGTTTAAGAGCTAGAAAATCATTAAATTGTACTCTCATTAACAGGAGGTTAGTTCTTGCATATCATAGAAGTATTTTAGACTTCAAAGATCGGCTCCAACGCTACCTGGGACCCTCCTTCCTTTACAATGTGAAACACCCTCTCAAAGGCGCCTTCAAAAACAACTATCTTTTGAATCTCCTGTTAAAAAAAAAATAGCAAGCAGAAACGAAAGCTCAAATACATCAAAGGTCCCACCTGTCAAAGCACAAGTGCTTCATTCCAGATCACCCGCAAACGTTTATTACGTGAGCTTTTCAGCCGTCTACGACCTCGCATTCCAGCTTCATATCCATGAGTCTTGTGATTGTTGCTAGGACTTCCTCTTGGAATCTTCAAGTGCACACCATTTAGATTTGCGTATCCAAGCTTGCGACAGCAACTCACCTAGCTGGTGAAACTCGCGTAAGAAGCTGAAGAACATAGTACCGGACGTAGAAATCCTCCTCCTCCTGAGGACATTTGATAAGATAGTTCCCATAAAGTTTCCTAGCTTACCAGCAAACTCAAAAGCAACGCAACGATGTTCTGCTCTCTTGCAAGAAGTTCACAGTTCACAAGACCAGGAGAAAGCTGCCCGTGATCATCTTGAGTCGCGTTGCCTAAAGCAGTAACGAGCGTTTCCAGCGCTCCTCGGACCTTGATTCGTTATGTAAGTCAACCAGAGAATAGAAAGCTCGCGATAAAAAAAAATTACGCTCGCTCACCATGTCTACGTCGTCACGATCGTCTCTGAGCACACCAATGAGCACAGGATAGATAATAAAGACTAAACAAGGTATCAAATTGGAAGAAATGAAAGAGAGGGATGTCGTCATTGTCTATCTCCTTATTCACTTCGAAACCTTCCTAACTTCACGAAAATTTGGAACTTCGAAACTTCTCCAACTTCACGAAAATTTGGAACCCCGAAGCTTGAAAAGTTTGGGACGATCTCAGTGCTGTAAAATCCAATAGACCTGTTAGTCCGGAAAAGAAATGGATGAACTCGAGACCACTTACGCTTAGAGTGACGCCTCCATTCTTCACTATCTTCTCGAGCTCCAAGTAGGCAGTGGAGTAAGGAAGAAACTCCCGAAAGTATTGCTGCGCGTAGCTCCGGATGCCTTCGGCGAAGCCGACGAACGCCTTGGTCTCGTCGAAAGTTACCATTCTCACGAACTTCGCTGGATTGCCGGCCCAGACCTCTCCCGTTGGGATCCGGCGTCCGGGAGGAACCACCGAGCCGGGCTCCAGAATGCTGTGGGTCTCCACGACGGAGCCTTCCATGATGACGCAGCGCTCGCCTATGATGCACTCGCGCTCGATGATGCACGACCGGAGTGTGCAGTAGGGACCGATTGTTACGTAGTGGCTGATGATGAGATGCGGTGGAAGTCCTGGAGAAGGAAAAGCACACAAAGATAAGTTGCTCAAAGAAAAGCAAAGAACAAACAAGGAGGAACGTAGCAAATGATAAAAGAAATGCGAAACAGTTTTCATGAAGCACAGAATGATAAAAAATAAAACAAACAATGCTGGGATGGGCTGTACCATCACATAAATCGTAGCAGCAAGAGAGAATGAATTAGCAAATGCAAAGTTATGCTAGAAAGAGTCTAAGCGAGAAACGTTTAGACGAAAGTTCACTCGGAAAGGTGGAATGCCAAAAACCAAAACGAATCATAGCAAATTTGAAAACAAGGTCTTTCTAAGGAATAAAAAAGCAAGCCACCACCGAAAAAAATCACAAACCATACACTGCAATCTACATTCTCGGAAACCATGGACGAAAACTAACACACAAGAAAAGAAAGCAAAGAGATAAGTTGCTCAAAGAAAAGCAAAGAACAAACAAGGAGGAATGTAGCAAAGAGGAACGAGTTGCGAAACACCTGGGATGGACTATCATCGGAAAACTCGTAAAGTAATGCTGGAAAGAGTGTAAGCGAGAAAACGTTTAGATGGTCGAAAAGCTGAAATGCCAAAAGCAAAAAACATCATAGGAGCAAGAGAAACGACAAGAACAAACAAGGAGGAATGTAGAAAAGGAGAAAAGAGTTGCGAAATGAGGGATGGAAGTTTCACAAACGTGAAGCACAGAATGATAAAAGCAACAAACGGAGAGACAAGCCTGGGATGGACAAACTTTTCAGTACCATCGGATAAATCGCAGCAGCAAGAGAGAATGGATGCAAAACTATAGCAAATCCAGAGTTATGCTGGAAAGAGTTTTAAGTTTAGAACAAACCGTGGAATGCCGAAAACAAAAAAGAATCATAGCAGCAAGAGAAGAACTATGTCAATCAAACACAAACGAAAGCAAGCCACCACCAAAAATAAATAATTCACGAAACCGTTCACTGCGATCTACATTCTAACCATGGACGAAACAATAAAAAGATAGTAAAACGTACCAACTGGGGACTCGGAGGCGACGTGAAGAACACAGCGGTCGAAGATATGCGAGCAAAATCCCATTTGGATTTTGTTAAGATCGCCTCGTAGCACCGTCCCATACCACACCGTGCACTTGTCCTCCACCTTGACGTTCCCGATGAGCGTGGCATTCGGCGCGACCCAGGCATCGGGCGCGATGTATGGCACCGCCATAGCCAGGGGTACGATCTGGCGCTGGCCGCGATAATCCCAGTCGGCCCGATAGAATCCCTCGGGCGGCGTCAGCGGCACTGTGATCTGCGTTACCTTCCTGGATTGCTGGAGCAGGCGCCATGGCGATGGCGATTCCTGCGATCCCCCCCGCGCCGGAGCTCCCGCGAAGAGATTTCGGAGCGATCCAGCGTGCTCCCTCCATCGTCGCAGTGCCGCCATAGCTGCGGCCCCAAATAGATTCGAACCATGCACCACTTGCACTACTTAGACCTCACGGGAAAGGATTCGAACCATGCATCACTTGGACCCTCTAAGTAAAGATCAAATCGTGAAATTCAAAAAACGCCGGCGGCCGGACGTTTGAATTTCTCGATCTGGGCCGTCCGACTAGGTTGCATCCAACGGCCCAGTTTGTATTTGTTTGATCTAAGTTTTTTACCTTGTTGCAGTTGTTTTTTGAGTTTAGGGCAGGGTAATAGTGCGCGTTGCGCCTTCTTTCTCCTCGGTTCTTCGATTCTCCGGCGCTAGCGCTCTGGGGGGACGATTCCTTTGCGCGATGACAATGCAGGGCTGAAGGCGCTACTCCTGCCGCTGGCGCTCGAGGTCTCGCCGCGAGGGTTTGGTGCTTTGGTTAGGGATTGTGGGGAGGCATGGATTCCAAGAAGCTGCAAGTGAGCCCCAGACCCTCGTCCGGCCGGCGCATCCAAGCGGGCAAGCGACCACGTCCTGACGATTACTGCGGCAACAGTGTCCGAAAGCTCATGAGGCGAGAGATCAGCCGCGCGGGCAACTGGGCGTTCAATCGGACAAGCTCCCAGGAGAAGTTTCGAAACTTCCAGCTCCAGGTATGGATTAGATACTTATCTCAGCTGCATTTTTTATTTTTCTTTGGGGTTCGCAATAGGAAGAGTTTGATACCCACGATCCCAAAGCGCACAGATGCTTGAAACTTCCATTCTTAAAGAAGAGGTCCAAGATCGTGGAGATCGTTGCTGCCCGTGACATCGTTTTTGCTTTGGCGCATTCGGGCATTTGTGCTGCTTTCAGCAGAGGTAGGCAGTCATATCCGTTCACATTTCCCTGGCAAATATAATCTTTTCTTTTTGTTTCGTTTGGGCTTTTAGAAACAAATAAGAAGATCTGTTTTCTCAATATCAGCTCCGACGAAGTCATCAGAAGCCTTTTCTATAACAAAAACAACGACTCGCTCATCACTGTTTCAGTATACGCATCTGACAATTTCAGCTCACTAAAATGCAGGACAACACCCATCGAGTAAAACTTTCCATGCTTTCATCTTTTATTTTACTAGTTTGTGTTAACTTTTCGCAGGTATATTAGAAGAGGACAGCCTGACGCTGGATTTCCTTTGTTCGAAACAGAATCATTGCGTTGGCCCGGCTTCGTGGAGTTCGACGACGTGAACGGAAAGGTGCTAACGTATTCCGCACAGGATCGGTATGCTCATCTCACTTTTCCGGCAACATTTAATCACTACTGAGATGGTTTTTTTTTTCTCCTTGCAGGATTTACAAAGTTTTTGATCTCAAAAACTACACCATGCTGTACTCTATATCTGACGAGCATGTCCAAGAGATTAAGATAAGGTAACGCGTGAAGTTGTGATTTTTTGAACTCCTTTAAGACGTTTTCTTTTTCCTGGTCACAGTCCTGGCATTATGCTGCTCATATTTGACAGAGCGGCGAGCCATGTTCCTCTTAAAATCTTGTCCATCGAAGATGGTTCCGTTCTAAAGGCGTTTAACCATCTCCTCCACCGCAACAAGAAGCTCGACTTCATCGAGCAATTTAACGAGAAGCTGCTAGTGAAACAGGAGAACGAGAACCTCCAAATCCTTGACGTAAGTAAAAGCAAAGCGCTTATCCCTGTAGCTGACGGCTTTTGGTTTGTTCGCGCAGGTACGAAACGCCCAACTGACGGAAGTGAGCAGGACCGAATTTATGACACCGTCGGCCTTCATCTTTCTGTACGAGAACCAGTTGTTCCTCACGTTTCGCAACCGCACTGTCGCCGTGTGGAACTTCCGCGGCGAGCTGGTCACTTCCTTCGAGGACCACCTCTTGTGGTACCCGGACTGTAACACAAACAACATCTACATCACCAGCGAGCAGGACCTCATCATCTCCTACTGCAAGGCCCAGGGATGCGACGAAGAGACAGGTAACCACAATCTCTCGTTTCTCTAATCGTTTCTTTCTTTTCTGTGGTACTGACTGCTCCATTTTCGCAGTAGGCTCGATCAACATCAGCAATATCCTGACCGGGAAGTGCCTGGCAAAGATCCGAGCCGACGATCCCAGCGTCAAAGTGAGCCCGCGGTGTCACGCAAACTCGTCCAACATCCGAGGCTCGGTCCGTGAGGCACTCGAGGACGTGACGGCGTTGTTCTACGACGAGGAGAGGAACGAGATTTACACTGGTAACAGGCAGGGGCTTGTCCACGTTTGGTCCAACTGATAGATCTCAGAGAGAGAGCGAGCGTTCTTTTGTCCGTGCTAGAAGATCCTCATCGCTCCTTGGTTCGTAACTTCTCTTTTAATGCGTTCTTCTGGTCTCACGGCAGGCGATATTTATCTCTCTCGTAAGAGCAGGCAAAGTTTCTTATGTCTCATTCGCGGCCGCGCATAATTCGTGCTATGGCTTTGTGTACATTGTATGCTTTTTTTCTCTGCTATAATTTTTGTAACCAAAGAAGTATCATCTCTTAAGTCTGTCTGGATCATCAAAACAATCAATTAGATATATAAATACAAGGGGGAGGAGAAGGAAGAAAAAAAAGCTAAAGCGCACCAGTGTACAACCGAGTACTCACTCTTCCAAGAGATTATCACGCGAGAAAAGCTCTCCCAAACTCAAAGTTATCGATTCCTCGAGAAGGCCTACATGGGGCACAAGCACGGTTGGACCTGGAAGTTCCTCCAAGCTTTTATTATTCCATTCGAAAGAAACGAGTGTCAAGGAGAAGATCGATCATTACTTACCTTGCTCGCCGGAACACGCTGCCGACGCTCGACGTAGGCCGAAGGAAACCATCCGGCTTTGCCTCGGCACTCCCCCTCGGACCATCCCGTCGTAGAAACCTGGAAGTTAGATCGAATCGTATGACAAAACTAGGAGCCATGAAACGCATCTAGATTACCTGGCGAACAACGACGTAATCACCAACAGCTATCGTAAGCTCTCCCTCGGATTCCGCCTCAAAAGGATGCATCACCTGGGCGGCACGTTTTAGAGCACAGCTATAACTTTAAAAAGAGCCCAGTACCTCGGCCAGGAAAAACGATGACTTTCGGTCGGAGTTGGATTGATAAACGTTGGAGTAGCCACCATTCTCTTTTACTTCCTCGTACGGAGGAGGGGACGTGGAGTGCTCTAGCTGTTGTGACGCGCCCGACTCTCCCTGTAACCGTTCTGCAACCATCTGGAGAACAATTATATCTCAGCCCTGTGTTTCCGGTCAAGAGAACGTCGCAACTTGCCTGGGTGTGAAGCTTGTCAAGGATATCAGTCACGCGCTGATGATAAGCTCGCTCGGCTTCTACCTGGCAAAAGAAACGCAAAAAACTGTGGGACTTTAATTACCAGTGACTGATGCTTACCATGGCAATGAGACGTTGCAATGTGAGACGCTGCTGTTGAGCTTCAACAGCAGTCATCGCCGCAGCGGCTTCTTTTCCCAGCTCTGTCATTGCTGCCATAAGCTCTGTCAGTTTCGATTCGGCCATTTGCAGTTTCAAGGCGTTGTCTGCATTGAGGCCGGTCTCTTTCGACCTTCTTCGAGTAACCTCCTGGCCCTGACCATTAACACCTTTGGTACCAAGAGAAAAAAAGCAGGAACACAACCGACCAAACCTGCGCTTCAGCCTCCTGGCGCAGACGATCATAGCGTTGTGCCAAGTGCCGCGCGTCTTCCAAAGGTGCTCCCATCACCATCGCTCTCAAAGGCTCAGCAACCTGCAAGACTTGTTAAAACTTATCACAAAGAATGTCTTTCTTACCTGAGTACCAAGTGCTCGATGCATGCTATCTCTCTCCTTCTCAATATTGAGTCGAGCATTTCCAAAGTACGTAGCCGACTTTGCAAGGGCCCCATTCGGAGCTGGTCCTTCAGCGGCATACTTTCGGCAATCCTCCGCAAGCTTGGTAGCTGTTCAAAAAACCATAAGCTTTTCTCTCTCACAATTTGGAATTTTTTTCACAAGAAACACTTACAAACATCAAGCTGCTTGGATCCAGTAGAGATCAATCCTTCAGTTCCACGCACTATTTCTCTTTGGAAATGCTACACATCAGCACACAAAGCAACAAAGCTATCAGTATCAGAAGAGTAAGAAATCGAAAGAATTCCCTTCGTTGCAACAAACGACAACTCAATACCTTGCCAGCGCGTGTAGATATAAATAATCTTTCCAGCTGCTGGTGCCTCTGCTGCTCCGCCTCGTTCGTCACAATGTCGGTCCCTTGAGAGCCGCCATATCCTTGCGAGAATTGTTTGAATACCGCCTGCGAACCACCAATCCAAATCGTGAGCAAATCTCCCAATCCTGGATGGAAACGAGCCTGTTGCTGTTTGGCGACTTGCTCCCGAAATTTGCTCGCCTGTTTCCTGATCGCATCCATCTGCCTAGATTGCGCCGAGCCAGCTGACACGAAACCAAATCGTCATTACCTTGGAGAATGTGGCGCGCCATAGATCACACCTGAGAGCCGATCTAGCAGAGGAAGAATGGCGCCGATCCAGGGCGAGCAGCCAAACCCTCCCGCACTTGTCGGACCCCTTCCCCGGGACCGCAACAAAGAAAGCAAACCCTAGACACCGGAGGGAGGAGGTCAAAGAAAAACCTCTGCCCCGCGTGGCGCGAGCGCGGCCGTCAGATATTAAAAGTAGACGTCGCAGATGAACATCGGGATCGTGTCTGCAGACAACGGTCAGGAACCAGATTGCCAATCTTGAACGTCAGATAAGATGTTTGAATTAATCCAAGCCGTCCACTTTAATTTAGAAGATAAATATTTTGCTGAAAGAAAAATATTGTCAAATTAATCCTTGCCGTCTGATTTCCTTTATAAAAATCCTTTTCTTTTCTGGCCAACAAATAGGCTTCTTCAGGTCTAAACCCTAATATCATATATAGTATAAAAGTCATTAAAACTTAGTTAAGAACAAGTGTATTTTCCATTCTATAGAAATCCAAAGACTACAAACCACCACAGGAGAATCGGCGCCGCCGTGGAACGCACACCATGAATGGCTTGTCCGAGATCTTCGTCCATCCCTTTTGATCTTTAACTTTGCCCTGCTCGTAGTCTGTCTGGACCCGGATCGTCGGCCCCTTGAACATATCAATCTTGTCCTGCTGCCTCGCGTAGACGATGAAGTCCTGGTGGAACAGCCGGTTCTCTCTCGCCTCTTTCTCCTCCTGCTTCTTCACGTCGAATCGAGTGAAGTATGGCCCGACGCTAGTGATGTAGTACTTTGATCTCCACAGAGGCGGTCGCCCCGGCCGACGCTTCAAGCGCTTCACTTCTTCCACGCAATTCATCGCCTTCCCCGTTTCCTTGATCTTCTCCTCGATGATGTTTGGTTCTCCCAAAACTTTGAGGTAGTGGGAGTAGTACATGCCTTCTTCGGCCTCAGTTCCCAGCTGCAAGAACAAAGAGAAGAGACTTAGAAACAAAAGGAACCAAAAAAGCTTCCAGAGAACTTACGAAGTAGTGACTGGACTTGAAGAACTTTTCAATCTCCTCGCGGGTTTTCGTCGCCACCTTGTTGATCCGGGCGTCCCACTGCTGCTTGAAGTTCGCAAAGATGTCGGTCTTCACCTCGTAGTTTCGGGCCATCGCGTCAAGCAGGAACTCTTTCCTTGCGTAGTAGCTGTGGACGAATTTCCTGCTGTAAAACCCGCGAAAGATCCTCTGGATCGTCGTGGCCTTGTGGTTGAAGTACGCGACTCGGAGCTTGGTGTCACGGGCACGACTGATGGCATAGAATCTCTCTCGCCCAAGGTGGCCGCGGTAAACTCTTTGGATGTTTGTAGCAGCAGTGTTCCATCTCTTGATAAGCTTGTAGACTCTTCTTCGTCTCCAAGCACACTGTTATTGAGGAACTGAAACATTAAGTACCAGCTGCTCGCAAGCTTAAGAATGAAGGAAAGAAGAAAACCGGAATGAGAAAAAATGGAGAGTATGATCTACCTGAAGAAGGATCACTGAATGGTGTTCTTTGGATCTATTTTCCTCAGCCACACTGAAAAATTCTCGTTTCTTTCCACACAGTTTAGTTGTTCTAGGAAGATTATTTGAATGCTTACTGTGACGTGTCGACGTAGGCCTGGAGCATCGCCTCCAGCCGGCGCCTCGCCCGAGCCATCTCCATTTCTTCTCTGTGCTCTCGACAGATCAATTGAACGATTTAACTCTTCTTTCGATCGATTGATCGATCTAGAAATGCAGCTAAATCGCGGTTGTGTGAGTAGCGAGGGAATGTAGCAAGGAATTCGTCGGCCTACCAGGAATTTGGAATGGCGCCGCTTGGGCGCCACTGCTCCAGCGCGATGAGCGGCCTCGATCCAAGAACACGGGGTTAGGGTTTGTCGAAATCCCCGGTTCGAATCTAGAAATTCAAATATCTTTCCATTGGGATAAGGCTTTCTAGCACAACGAAGCTATGCCGCATTGCGGTAGCGCTAGGGTCTGTGTGGGAGCATCCGCGGTGAGCGCCAGGCCGCGGAATGGATTGTCGCTCTCGCCGGTGTCGGCGCCAAGGATTTCGACGATCCGGTCAGCTGCCGTAAGTTCAATACGTGCAAATATCAAGGATTTCGAGCGATTTCTTTCCAGGCGGGCGAGGAATCGATGCATCTACATCTCCAAGATCCACCACGCGCTGCGAATTCACCCTTTTTTGAGCCACAGAGCTGGAAGAAGGCCGCCATAGCAATTTTCGCAGCAATGCAGGTGGCAGCACCGTTTAGCGACTGGAATTTCCCGGTGGCAAATGCGATTCTCTACTCTCCAGATACCAAAGTGCCACGCACTGCAGAGGTAGCGCTGCGCCGAGCTATTCCTGTGATCACACCCACCATGAAAGCCATTCAGGTATATTTCTCCAAAATCTCTCAATGTTCCATTGGAACTTTTTGTTCTTCATAGGAACCTTTGGAAAACATTTTCTATCTCCTCAGGATCCCACAAAGGAAGCCATACGGTAGCATGGAATCGGATGTTAAGAAAGCTCTCAAGGTACGAACGAGTTGTCGATACACTTCGTCTTGAGTGTTTTCTTTCAGATAGTTATGGATGGCAAAGACACTATCATATCTTCAATACCTGAGGAGAAGAGGGCGACGGGACAAGAGCTCTACAATACACTAGTTGATGAGAAGGTAGTATGTTCTCCATATCCTTTTTCTTCGTTTTGTGAATGTGTGACTTCAGGCAGGATTGCCAGCCTTGCTTGCGAGCATTGGGGAGCAAGATGCTGACAAGGTCTCAATAAGACTTGCTTCGTCCCTGGATGTTATAGCTCAGATTGAGCTTTTGCAGGTAAAAACCTAAGGTAGATCGTTTTCGATAACGCTGTTCATTCACTTCTTATGTGCCAAGGTTTCTGAAACAGGCCCCAGCTCTTCCATATCTACTTCCAGCACAATACCAACAGTTGCCCAGGTTTCACAGGTTTAATCCTGTGGAAATTCTTCGTTAACACCCCTTGTTTGATACTATAGGCTTACTGGTCGAGCATTGGTTGAAATGGTTGTGAAGAAAGGTGATAACACGGCCTTCACCGTTGCAGCCGGTCAAGGACCTCAACCACAGGGAACAATTCAGGTAATTGCGTTCATTTCCTTGACATTGCTATGAAAATTTCTTGAGATGTTTCAAACTGGCAGGTTGTTCTTGATGGTTTTTCTGCACCCATCACTGCTGGAAATTTCGCCGATAAGGTTCCTGCATCTAGTTCTTATCAGTCACTAAAGTTTTCTTCCCAGGTTTTAAAAGGCTTTTACAACGGAGTCAAGCTCAGGACAACTGAACAAGCGATACTATCGGATAGCGCTCAGCAGGACGCCCTTCCAATGGAGATCTTGCCATCCGGGGAATTCCAGCCACTGTACAAAACAACTTTGAGTATTCAGGTGAGTAGTCACACATTCAAAGAGATATATGAATGACAACTCTCTCTTTCAGGATGGCGAGCTGCCAGTACTTCCACTATCTGTATACGGCGCTGTGGCAATGGCACACGACCCTAGCGCGGAAGATTTGTCATCCGCATCTCAGTTTTTCTTCTACTTATATGATAGGCGAAGCGTAAGTTTCCACTTTCTTTGTCTTACAATAGACGAAGTTTTAAGCTTTTATATCACCTCAGGCTGGGCTTGGTGGACTTTCCTTTGAAGAAGGCCAATTCGCAGTTTTCGGGTAAGCTTTGTCTCATCTCCATCTGCCTCGAATCAATCCATGGTTTTTCAGATATGCAACCAAAGGACGTGAACTTCTATCCCAGCTAAAAACCGGCGACGTCATTGAGTCGGCCACGCTAGTTTCTGGACGAGACAGGCTCGTGTATCCACAAGCGCCTTCATGAGCAGATAAAATGGTTCGTTGTCTTTTATTTCTCATGAACGCTTGTTCATATTCCGAGGAATGACGATCGAAACTCTCCCGGCGATGGATTATACAGATGATTCGAGCGGACAAAATCGACGCTTGCATCTCTTTGCAACGCTAAGTATATATGAGAAGTCTATCCGTGTCGAGATAGCTGGATGCGAATGCTATACCGTCTCCAGTCGGCTGTGAGAAGGCGAGCTTGTCAAGCTTTATCTGGGATCCAAAGGCAAAATCGTCCCTGGCAAGAAACACCAAGCAGAATGAGCTCCGGCCGAGAGGAGTTACGTACGTGAGCTTACCTGATCGTATCGAGGAGACGAGACGCTATTCCTTTTCTCCGGAAGGAATGCATCACCCACAGTCCCCGGATGCCACACGCGGCCGCCACCGGAGCGTTGTTGTCATACGAGATCGACTTGTTTAGATCCGCGCTGCTGCTGCTGCTGCTGCTGCTGCTGGTTTTGATCTTGCGCTGGACCTCTCTGACGAACTTGATGTTGCCAAATACCATCTCCTTCTTCACACTCGCGGCTGATTTGTAGAACAAAAGAGCCATGCGTGAGAAACTTGTTTGCAGTTTGTTCTTACGTACCTTTCCCCTTATCGCAGTGATCTCTCTCGACCCTGGCAACGAATGCTTCGTCGATCGGCTCGGCAACGGCACAGCCGAGTACTCTCTTCGATTCAACATAGAGGTAAACCTGCAAGACGGCTTCGCTATGAGAGAAACGAGAGAAAAGGAGGCCTTCCATTTCCAAGGTACCTTGTATTGGGTGTTTAGCAACCAGTCTGGAGGAAGGCCCATCTCTTTCTCCATGGTTGTGGCGACCTCTTTCACCTGGTTATGGAGTTTTAGCGCACTACTTCACGAGCATAGGGGATCGATACCTTTGTGTGGTGTTGGGCGGGATCTTGCGGAAGAACTACAATGACTCGACTGCTTCTATCCTCGAATCGAGCGGCGACTCTCTCGTTTCGCCAGCCCTGCAAGAACCGAGAGAATGTAAGAAGCGAGATCAGGCATCGATCGATTCACCTTGAACTGGATCCCGCGAAGGAAGTTTCTGTGGAAGATCTCGTGAACCTTGGTGTCGTTCTCTTGGCCTCGCGCGTAGACGAGGCCGCAGACCTTGCATGCGCTCTGGGAGAAATCCGACTGCCCGAAATCCAGGAAGTATTGCCCGCCGCCGCCGCGCTGCCGCTTTGGCTGCGGCAGCGCGGCATTCTTCGAGCTCTTGCACGGCGCCAGCGGCCTCAAGACGTCGGATTCCCCGTCGGAGCCATCCGACTTCTCCTCATCGGATGCCGGTTTCCTGAAAATCCATCCGCCCGTCTTGAATCTAGGAATGAACAAAGCCGCGGCGCATACCTCTTGCGTCGCCGGTACGTGACGACCGCCGGCGCCTTCGCCTGGAGCCATTCCGGCTCGTCGGCCATAACTCGGATCCAAGAACCCTAAACCTGTTTGAATTTTCCCGCCCAATGGCGCCCACCGTCGATCCTAAACGCTGGGGTTTAAGAGAACTGCCACGTGGCTTTGATCTGATTTAACCTACATAATAATCCCAGACCTAATTTTTCACTTGCCCTAGACGAAGAAGAACAGTGCATTGTTTTTTTTCGACCAAGGCGCTCTCCACTGCGGCATCCATTCTGGGTCACCGGCACAGCGTTCCTGGTAGGCGCTTTGCTAAGCTCGCGAATGGTGGAAAGATATGGATTTTTTCCTTTTCCTTCTTATCAGCAGTGCCTACAATGAGCAGCGGAGCAAACGAGGGAGAAGCTGAGAGCTCAACTGGATCGGGATCGAGCAATTCTTCTACCGTCGAGATCAGGATCAGGACATTGGACTCGGCGAGCCACACTGTTCGAGTAAACAAGGATGTAAGTGTCTTTAAAATGGTTTTAGATTGGAAGAACAAGGAGGATGTTCACGGTTTTTTTCTTTCTCTCTCTCTCGTAGATATCTGTGCCTGCCTTGAAAGAGCAACTCCAGGAACTGGTGGGAATTCCAGCGCAGGACCAAAGGCTGATTTGCCGCGGGAGAGTGCTGAAAGACGATCAACTTCTATCGGCTTACAGTATGTTCCTTGTCTTTGTTTCTGCGAACATTTTTTGATCTTCTTAGCGATGATGGCCAGACGTTGAAGACGGGCATACGTTGCATTTGGTGGCAAGGCCGCAACCACAGTCCGGTGAAACTCAAGCTCAAGGTGAGTAGAACTTTCGGAAAACGTGAGACTAAACGACTTAAGTTTCTATAGCCGATCAAGCGAGTGCGCAGGGACAAGCGGATCCGAACCAGCAAGGCCGGGGAGTCACTCACAGTCTCGTCGTTGGAACTATCAATGTTCCGACCGTCGGGGATGGAGGGATTCCTGATTTTAATAGAGTGAGTTCCTCCGCTAGTTTTCTGTTTTTGTTCTTGGCTTACTGTATAATGGTGACAGATTGTTTCGGCTGTTCTTGGCTCTGTTGGAAACCTTCCAGGATCAAACGTTCCCATGGGTCCGGCCGACTTGCAACAAGGTACACCTCTTACTGCCCCGCGCCTGGGCCTTTCCTTTGGAGGAAACCAGGGGTTTCAGGTTCCGCCTGATGCACTGACAACAATGGCAATTTATCTCAGTCGCATGGAACAAATGTTTGGTGAGTGTGTTTCTTTCTTTTCTTTTTTGGCTCCAAGCTTCCAAAAAATTGACATGTTTCACAGGACTTGCGAGTGCTCAGCCTTCAAACCAGCCTTCGAACCAGACTCCGGACCAGACTCCGAACCAGACTCCGAATCCGCCATCAAACCAGCCCCAGACTCAGAACCAAAGCTCAAGCCAGACTTCTCCTCCTGCTCTTGGTGAACCTTCTGCAAATGGACAAAGAAGTCCTCCTGCAGTGAATAGACCGCTTTTCAGTCCGGCAGGGCTGGGTGGAATCATTCGTCGTGCGCAGTCGCTACTTACTGGTCAGGCTGCGGTGCTTCTTGCTGTAAGTTCTCTCCATTTTTTTTGACTCCATAGTAACCTGAATTGTTAAGGCATTGGCTGGACAACTTGAGAACGAAGTGACACTGGCCGACGTCAATATGCGTGGAGAGGTCCAAGCTGCTGCTGCTTGGAGTGGGACGATTATGCAGCAGCTTGGGGCTCTACTGATGGAACTTGGCAGGACTACCATGACTTTGCATATGGGATCCACGCCTGTAAGCATCTAGATTTCATTCTTTGCTACTTCCGCTGAGCACCTTTCACATGGTTTCTACAGGCTGAAGCCTTTGTAAATTCTGGTCCGGCAGTTTTCGTTTCTCCTACTGGACCAAATCAGATGATGGTTCAGGTAAGCTCGTGATTTGTACCTTTATTTGTGGCTGAGTGCATACTGATTTTGCAGCCGATGCCTTTTCAACCGATAGGTACTTTCCCTGCAAGATCACCGTTTCCTCCGGGGTGGCCAGGTGCTCAAGGACCAAGAAGCCTGAACATCCACATTCATACGAGTGATACCGGAGTACCTTCAACGAATGCTCCGGCCGCGCCTTCTACCGAAGAGGGAGGATTACCACAGCAACCACAGGTTCCTATGACTGGAATACCAGCGGGCGTTTTAGATGGTGCTGGCCAAGAAAACGTTGGAGATGACAACTCGCAGGGTATTCCCAGTGCTGTGGTACAAGAGACGATCATGGTTATCCAGGATAACGGTGACGCTCGGGTGCTATCGTCTCGCTCCAGGAACTTAAGCCCTGGAGCTTCACCAGCCGACAACGAAGGTACAGTTGGTGCTAATTCCAGTGTGCCTATGCAAGCTGCCCCAACGGCACAAATGGCACAGGTTTCACAGGCGCTAAACCAGCTCTGGCCTGGAGGGCTTGCAAACTTACGAGCTCCACAGCATCCACAGCAGTTTAATGGCTCCACGATGGGCATGGGATCCAATCCTTTGACGTCGATGCTGGGAGCTACACTCGGCCAACTTGCTGGTTTCCAAACAGGAAATTTTCAGGTACCAGCTCCGTTTAGCTCGCAAGTTTTTCCACAAGGACCAGCTCCTCCCACCACTACTCTGGGTAATCTGCATTGGTTTGGTTTAAAACTGAAGCGTTTTAACTTGTTTTATCTCTCTTGCAGCGCAAGCACAAGTCTCCATCCCTCAGCAGCCTGCTAGTGTTCCAGCACCTCAACCATCTCCAAGCGAGACTTCTTCAATCCCATTTCAACCGCCCTCACTAGTACTGAGCTAACTTTAAAACTTGGAAGCTTGTTGCTAACTTTGTGCTATTGCAGCCATCGACAGATTCTCGTGATGCAACCAACAGGTCACTCGACCAAACAGCTACTACAACCTCTACTCCGACTGCTCCCCAGCCTAGCTTAAATCTTCCGGCTGGCTTGGGTTTGGGCCGCTTGCGTCCGCTAGTGGTATGTTTCAATCTCTTTCTGTTCACTCAGTAAATTCTTGTACAGCCTAGAAGGCGGACGGAGAGCTCAAGTCAGAGTGATCCTGCTGCTAGAACTGATTCAAGGTCGCCACCACCGACGTCACCGTCGCTCAACGAGAACAACTTTGCAAGCCTCATCGGGAACATTATCAGGACTCCTGCGTTTGGCAACCTTGCACAGCAGATGATGCAAACTTTGGGAGAAGGTGGTGCTGGCTCGCAGAATGTGGATATCGGGAGTATAATGCAGCCGATGCTGAGAAGCGTCATCCAGCATCAGCAGCAGCAGCCTGCCAATCCGGAAGTAAGATTTTTTATTTCTTCCCTGATCGTTCTTCTGCTCAAACAGGTACCTGAGGC